CTCATTTTGTTCTTTGGCACTTTGGTTTCTACCTTTACTGTCTTACAAGAAATGAAAAGCAATTTTCTAATGGGCTTACTGGTAATTTGCTATCAATGAATAAAATAGGCCAGGTGCGGTGGCTCATGCCTGTAATCCCAGCACTTTGCGAGGCCGAGGTCAGAAGATTGAGGCCATCTTGGCTAACACGGTGAAATCCCGTCTCTACTAAAAATACAAAAATATATATATATATATTAGCCAGGAGTGATGGCAGGCACCTGTAGTCCCATCTATTCGGGAGGCTGAGGCAGGAGAATGGTGTGAACCTGGGACGAGGAACTTGCAGTGAGCCGAGATTGCGCCACTGCACTCCAGCCAGGGGGACAGAGGGAGACTCAAAAAAAAAAAAAAAAAAAGAAAAAAAGAATAAAATAATGTCAGTTGTATACATAGGATTTGGCCTTCCTATGAAATTAAAGCACTCCATCAGATTGCTACACCTCCTAATTCTGATTTTTACATATCACTGCTGTCTAAATTTTAGAAAACAGATGACTTGAGAAAATCTAGCTCTAGTTTTGCAAATTATTTACTCACTAAATTCTATGGCACTGGTTTTCAATTGTGCATTTCTCCTCTAGTTCTAATGAAAAGGGAGAAAAAAGCCAGCATTTAGGAGATTTTCCCTCTCATTTGAACATTAGTTGACAGTTATGCTATCCATGCTTTCATCTGCCCAATATATATTTACTTCTTATATTTACCTGTAGACAAGGTACTGTGCTGGAGATTAGGGAAGCTGCTATAAAAAGCAATTAAAAATTCTCTCTTCTAAGTACCAAGAATATGCAACAAATAATCAAGATAGAGTAAAAAGTGATGGTTTATTTTTTAGAAGAGTAAAGATAAATTTTTACTTTACTTCGCAAGAATAACAACAAACTTTAATCTTAATCTCTTTACAACATAGTATTGGAAGTTCTGGCCAGGGCAATCAGGCAAGAGAAAGAAATAAAGGGTATTCACATAGGAAGAAAGGAAGTCAAATTGTCCCTGTTTGCAGATGACATGATTATATATTTAGAAAACCCCATCATCTCAGCCCAAAATCTCCTTACGCTTATAAGCAACTTCAGCAAAGTCTCAGGATAGAAAATCAATATGCAAAAATCACAAGCATTCCTATACACCAATAACAAATGGGGAGCCAAATCATGAGTGAACTCCCATTCATAAAATACAACCTAAAGGGATGTGAAGGACCTCTTCAATAACTACAAACCACTGCTCAGGGAAATAAGAGAGGACACACACAAATGGAAAAACATTCCATGCTCATAGGAAGAATCAATATTGTGAAAACGGCCATACTGCCCAAAGTAATTATAGATTCAATGCTATTCCCATCAAGCTACCATTGACTTTCTTCACAGAATTGGAAAAAACTAATTTAAATTTCATATGGAATCAAAAAAGAGCCTGCATAGCCAAGGCAATCCTAAGCACAAGGGACAAAGCTGGAGGCATCGTGCTACCTGACTTCAAACTATAATACAAAGCTACAGTAATCAAAACAGCATGGTACTGGTACCAAAACAGATATATACACCAATGGAACAGAACAGAGGCCTCAGAAACAATACCACACATCTACAAACATCTGATCTTTGACAAACCTGACAAAAACAAGCAATGGGGAAAGGATTCCCTATTTAATAAACGGTGTTGGGAAAACTGGCTAGGCATATGCAGAAAACTGAAACTGGACTCCTTCCTTACACCTTCTACAAAAATTAACTCAAAATGGATTAAAGATTTAAACGTCAGACCTAAAACCATAAAAACCCTAGAAGAAAACCTAGGCAATACCATTCAGGACACAGGCATGGACAAAGACTTCATAACTAAAACACCAAAAGCAATGGCAACAAAAGCCAAAAATGACAAATGGGATCTAATTAAACTAAAGAGCTTCTGCACAGCAAAAGAAATTACCATCAGAGTGAACAGGCAACCTACAGAATGGGAGAAAATTCTTGCAATCTACCCCTTTGACAAAGGGCTAATATCCAGAATCTACAAAGAACTTAAACAAATTTACAAGAAAAAAACAACCCCATCAAAAAGTGGACAAAGGATATGAACAGACATTTCTCAAAAGAAGTCATTTACACAGCCAACGAATATATGAAAAAAAAGCTCATCATCACTGGTCATTAGAGAAATGCAAATCCAAACCACAATGAGATACCATCTCAAGCCAGTTAGAATGGCAATCATTGAAAAGTCAGGAAACAACAGATGCTGGAGAGGATGTGAAGAAATAGGAACACTTTTACACTGTTGGTGGAAGTGTAAATTAGTTCAACCATAGTGGAAGGCAGTGTGGTGATTCCTCAAGGATCTAGCAATAGAAACACCATTTGACCCAGCATCCCATTACTGGGTATATACCCAAAGGATTATAAATCATTCTGCTATAAAGGCACGTGTGCACATATGTTTTTTGTGGCACTGTTTACAATAGCAAAGACTTTGAACCAACCCAAATGGCTATCAATGATAGACTGGATAATGAAAATGTGGCACATACACACCATGGAATACAATGCAGCCATAAAAAAGTATGAGTTCATGTCCTTTGCAGGGACATGGATGAAGCTGGAAACCATCATTCTCTGCAAAGCAACACAAGAAAAGAAAACCAAACACCGCATGTTCTCACTCATAAGTTGGAGTTGAACAATGAGAACACATGGACACAGGGAAGGGAACATCTCACAACAGGGGCGCTGTGGCCAGTGGGCCGGGGGGGGGGGGAGCAGGAAGGGGATGGAGGGGATAGCATTTAGGATAAATACTAATGTAGATGACCGGTTGATGGTCTGCAGTAACACACCATGGCGCATGTAACCGAACCTATGTACAAACCTGCACGTTCTGCAGCATGTACCCGAAATACACCCAAGAATCTAAAGTATATATAAAAGATTAAAGTTTGAGAAGAGTCCATGTAAGTAGCTGGGAAGCCAGTACAGCAGCTGTACTAGGATTCTAGTGGTGATGGAAAAGAAGTGAAAAGATTGAAAGCAAATTCAAATTATTTTTCAGATACATTTCCTCCTTAAGAAGTTGTTAATTCACTTCTGCCTATTTTCTGAGATGGTTTCTTTTAATTTCTATGAGGTATTTCCTATTAAAAGTATTAGTCCTTTGTCATATTTGCTGCATATTTTTTTTTCTAGTTGGTTGTCCTTTTTCTTTTCTTTGATATGTTATTCAATTTTTTAATGTAGATAAATCTATAACTATCTTTCCTTTCGTGGTTTTTTCCCCCACTAATTTTAAATTATAATATCCTCCATCATCTCCACTTTTTTCTGACCTTTTTATCCACTTCACATTAGAACACACTAGACTTCAGTGATGGATGTGTATAGTTCCTGCTTTCATAAATTCATTTAATTACCTAGTAAACATATGTGTTACACGTGACAGACACATAAACACAGGAAGACAGAAACAGTTATGTAAGTGTTTCCAGAGGAGAAAGCAATCTGGCTGCACAAAGAATAGACACCTAACCCAGACCAAGGTGAGTTAATGAAGGTTTCCTAAAGGTCAAATTTTAACTGTTTTGAAGAAGAACAGAAGTTAGCTAAGTGGAAAAACAGTCTTAAATGGCTTATACCCTGACGTTTCCATCATCAAAGTCATTACAAAATTTGATATGAAGCTCCCTGGGGTTGAAATCCCAAGGACATTACTCCGATCTTTCATACATCACAGGTAACCTAACGGAAAATAGCCCGCCAAATGCTTTCTGGCAGAAAGCATAAGCTTAATGTATGGTTATGAGTAAATAGTAACTGCTTGCAGCTTCCCTCTTCAGCATATCTTGTACTCCACTGTCAACTGAAATCCAGACTCGTTAATCTGGCAGTAGGGAATATATTTCAGTTTTATTTCCTTCTTCATCTCACAAGTTCCCATCAGTGAAGAGTTACCTATCCCTATATTACCCACGGTTTCTTCTGCTACTAACCCTTTCCTGCTTATACCAGTTCCTCTGCCTGGAATGGCTTCTTCCCCTTTCCTGAATCACTGACTAAGTGATTCCTGGGGAAGATCCTTAAAGATCAAGTACAAATATTACCCACTTCATTTTCCCGCCTTGTTACTAGAAAATATGAAATATCTCTTACATTACTATGTGTACTCTAAACAGTGACCTGCTCATACACTGGATAAAGAATTTCCTTTCAATATGTCACTGTGAGTTCCTTACTCGATCCTTACGTTTCCAGCTTACTTTAAGACTTCGGATGACATTACTTTGTTGAATAGAAGCAGAAACCAGAGGCGAGTAAGTGGTAGGAATAGTATTTTGTTGACCTTAGCACATTATGGAAGAGACGGTGGTGAGAACAAATGTCTGATGAGAACGGACTGAAGAAGCAGAAAAAAGAATTGGGGATAGCAAGTATGAACAGTTCTTTATTGAAGTTCCGCTGTAAATGGAAGCAAAGGAGTAAGACACTAACTGGAAGAGGAAACGAAGTACTGAGCATACAGTCTCATTCAAGATCAGCAATTTCTTAGAAGCTACAGCTCTTAATTTCTCTCTTTCATTTTCGACAGGCAATAAGGAGCAGGTAATGTGTACTGAAAGTTTAAGGGTCAGGCACTTGCAAATACTTCACATATCTCAGTTAATCTCACAACAACCCTGGGACGAATTATCTTGAGTTCCGCTTTACAGACGAAAATATTGAATATCTTCCCAAAGTCCCATACACATAAATTCGTGGGGCCTGACACATGTCTGTCACTTTAGTCACCTAGAGACCGAAAAGGGAAATTACCGGTTGCCAAACTCCAAGTTGTGGGAAACTCCCCTGGGCCCACCACGAAAGTTCCTCCAGCCGCACCCTCTTTGCCCTCCTCCGACCACGCGTCTCAAAAGACCTGGTTGTGAGGACCCTCAAAGTCAGCCCCATAGGTTCCTCGGCGCTCACCTCGTTATTGAGGTTCAGAGTTCCCGGCTGAGCCATGGTAGATTAAGGAATATGATCCGCCGTTGCCTGCACGTGAACTGAGTCTGTCAGACTGCGGCTGCGTCGCCACGCCCCTCAACGGAAGCCTCTTCTGTCCACAATTCATCCGCCGTCTGCTCTAGCTGCCGCCTGGGAAAAGGAAACGTTGGCGCTTGGAGGGGAAAACCGGAACTGATATAGAGCAACTTCCGGCGCAAAGGGCGACGCAACGGAATTGCGCGTTCCTATGGAAACCAGAGGAGGGCTGGTAGCGGTGGAACGTACAGGTTTTCAAGATATGTGTGTGTGTGTGTGTGTGTGTGTGTGTGTCCCCTTAGTACACTGTATGTGTGTGTCCCCTTAGTACACTGCGCCCGCATTGTACCGGCCTTGGTTTTTCTCTCGTAATGGCGAGGGGGGCGCTGAACGGCTGTGAAACAGCTCTTGTGAAATGGTCAAGCACTTGAATGAACGATTTTTTGCTTCCATTTTTTTAAATCTAGTGTTTGTGAAGATTTTTTGCTTTTCTAACAAACACGCCTTTTTAAATCCTCACAGCTTTTTGTTCCAACCTCACATTATAGCTGAGGTGCGAACATTTTTTCCTGCACACTATAGAAGCATTTAAATTTAAGGAATGAACGTTTGAAGCAAAACCAGGATACACATTTGGTACTGCCTGTGGGAATGGCTGTTTAGAAATATTAGCCGGCGGGCGTAGGAGACGTAAGGGAATGTGTTTGAATTACACTTTCTAGTATTGACCATTAAAATATGTCAAATGCTGGTCCAAGAGCTTTACATAAATTAGCTCAAAATCTCCACAGAAATCCAACAAGATAGATATTATTATTCTATTATAATTATTATTATTTTGTTAGAGACCTGGTCTGTCTGTCATCCAGGCTGGTGTGCAGTGGCACATTTATAGCTCACTGCAGCCTCAAACTCCTGAACGCAAGCCATCCTCTCACCTCAGCCTTCCAAATAGCTAGTACTACAGGAGTGAGCCACCCAACTCTGCTCTGAACTATTATTTTACAGATGTGTAAAGTGACTTCAGAGGCACCCAGTGCCTTGCCCAGAGTCACTTGCCTGGTACTGTCCACTGCTATAGGACTTCAAGTCCAGCTACATAATATGTGGGGTGCAGTGCAAAATGAAAATCCAGGCCCCTTCATTCAAAATACAGGAAAAACGTTTCTTCCGGCAAGGGACAGTGGTTCATGCCTATAATCGCAGCACTTTGGGAGGCCGAGGCGGGCGGATCACCTGAGGTTGGGAATTGGAGACCAGCCTGACTAACATGGAGAAACTGAGAGGTGAAGCTAGCTGAGCTTCTGGGTGGGTTGAGGACTTGGAGAACTTTTCTGTCTAGCTAAAGGATTGTAAATGCACCAATCAGTGCTCTGGGTCTAGCCAAAGGTTTGTGAACACACCAGTCAGCACTCTGTCTAGCTAAAGGTTTGTAAACACACCAATCAGTGCTCTGTGTCTAGCTAATTGGCTGGGGACTTGGCGAACTTTTGTGTCTAGCTAAAGGATTGTAAACACACCAATCAGCACGCTGTGTCTAGCTAAAGGTTTGTAAACACACCAATCAGCCCTTTGTGTCTAGCTAATTGGGTGGGGACTTGGAGAACTTTTGTGTCTAGCTAAAGGATTGTAAATGCACCAGTTAGCACTCTGTGTCTAGCTAACGGATTGTAAACACCAATCAACATTCTGTAAAATGGACCAATCCGCAGGATGTGGGTGGGGCCAAATAAGGGAATAAAAACAGGCCACCCGAGCCACCAGTGGGGTAACCTGTTCTGGTGAAGCTTTGTTGTTTTGCTCTTCACAATAAATCTTGCTGCTGGTCAGTCTTTGGGTCCGCACTGCGTTTATGAGCTGTTAACACTCACGGGGAAGGTCTGCAGCTTCACTCGTGAAAGCCAGCGAGACCATGAACCCACCGGGAGGAATGAACAACTCTGGATGTGCCACCTTTAAGAGCTGTAGCACTCACTGCAAAAGTCTGTGGCTTCACTCCTGAAGTCAGCAAGACCACCAACCCACCAGAAGGAAGAAACTCCAGACACATCTGAACATCTGAAGAAACAAACTCTGGACACACCATCTTTAAGAACTGTAACACCCACTGCGAGGGTCCGTGGCTTCATTCTTGAAGTTGGTGAGACCAAGAACCCACCAGAAGGAACCAATTCCAGAAACAAAACCCCATCTCTACTAAAAATGCAAAATTAACTGAGCGTGGTGACGCATGCTTGTGATCCCAGCTACTTGGGAGGCTGAGGCAGGATAATCACTTGAACTTGGGAGGCGGAGGTCCCAGTGAGCCAAGACCATTCCAGACTGGGCAACAAGAGTGAAACTTTGTCTCAAAACAAAACAAATAAAATAACCAGTTTCTTCTATAGTGTCTCTTGACTCTTCATGGTGTTTTTAAATTTATTATTTAATGAGATGCTCCCTAAAGCACAGAGACATTAGGTTGTCAGGGCAGACCCTCAAAGGTGCCTGAGACCCCTGCCCCAAGACTCAGGTAGGAGTGTATGCACTGGAACAAGGTGGCAGCAGTTGCTGGGTGGAGACAAGAGAGCAGGAAACCAGAGAGTCCACCTGGGGACGCTGTGGGAGACAGGACCACACATGATCTGAGACAACAAAGCCTTGGCACATGTTCCATTATCCCGCTGGACTTCACTTAACAAAACTCAAATTCCAAAATGAAATTACTAATAGTTTCAAGATGTTCCCAAAGCACAGTTAACCAAGGCCCACTTCTAAGCCTTTGCCCAAGAAACCAGCCTTGTCCAGAACCCATGCTGTTAACTCGTAAAACTGAACTCCACTTAGAATAGCTCTGACTTGATAAACGAAATAGGTATTCTTTTAGTTTGGTGCATTATTTGGACACAAATGGATTTAACAGCTGACTTCTTGTTTGACCAGTGTTACATGAAGGTAGTTTTGCCATTACTAAATCGTACACTGAATTGTAATTGTTTCCTTTGTCTACTTTCTGTCATTAAAGCTGAACTCCTGCAGTGTAGGAGCTTTTTCCTCTCCAGGTGGGTAGTGTACTTTGCATATAAATACATAGGAAGGAATGTCAAATAATCAAGAAAAATAGAGAGCTTTATGGAAAATCTGTCTTTAAAATTTGGGAGAAAGGAGTTATGATCCCATAATGCTTCAGAAAATGTATTATTAATACAAAATTTTCCTGTAACTCTAAAAAGCTTTGCAGACTTTTCTCTTGACCACTTCTTTTGATCCCTAAAATCTCAGTTCTTAAACCACCAGTCTCCTCAGGATCAGCACTTGCTTAGTTGTTTTCCTCCTTAGCCCATGCTGTCTCCATTAGCTATGAGGCTTCCTCTGCTACATCTGCTTTCTCAAGTGCTACTTCTCAAGACCAGGTCAAATTCCATCCATCTCTTTTAAGAATTATTTCCACAGCCCCAGAGATAAGTTTAATTTTGCTCACCAGTGGGTCATATTTACAGTATTTATGATAGTCTACCAGTGGGGCATACTATACTATTTATGACAGTCTACTTTAATTTGAAATAATTTGTGTACTGGTTATTCTTTTATATTAAAAGCTCTCAACAACCTTAGATACTCTTGTTTTTAAAGAGACTAGTATTGTTCCATTTTTACAATATTAATGTGAAATCATTTGTTCCAGGTATATCACCTCCAACTCAATCTTCCTACCTCTTTTTTGAGACTTCCTACAGTCTCAAAAATTATTTTGTTTGATAACAAAGGTAGTTCTACTAACTGGTTTTCATTAAGCAACGCCCAGTTTCTCCAGTAATAATAATGTGTTTGTGTTAATTAGGTTGAAAGTTTCTCTAGAAAGCAAACTGTCTCACTGTTTTATTCATGGAGGGCTGACCTGGATCAATTCAATGCTGTCAGATGTATGAAATGACAAAGCTATTATAATTAAAAGTAACTTGTTTGAGACCTTTTTTTCTTTTTATTACAGTGTTCCAATTAGTGGAACTAAGGGTCCACAAACACATTCCATAGAGACTCAAGGTTTTCAATGTCAAGTTCCTCAAGAGTTTCTTAGACCCCACTGTGTTAGTCAGTTTGGGGTGCCAAAATAAAATACCACAGTCTGGATAGCTTACACAACACAGATTTATTTAGGATGCTTGAAGTCCAAGATCAAGGTACCATCAGGATTAGTTTCTGGTACAAGCTCTCTTCTTTGCTTGCAAATAGCCACCTTTTTGTGGCCACAACCCCATGTGACCTTTCTGCTGTGCACATGTGGAGAGAGAGCTCTGTGGTGTTTTCCTCTTCTTATAGTGGCACCAATCCTATTGGAGTCCTAGCTTTATGGCCTTATTTAAACTTATTACATCCCTAAAGATTTTATCTCTGAATAACATCATACTCAGGGTTAGGTCTTCAACATATGAATTTGAAGGGCGGGGGAAACAATTCAGTTCACAACACCCACTTTCCTTGAGAATTCTTCCATGACTACATCAAAGTAATCTCTTTCTTATCTAACAAGCTGCATTACTACCATTATTCTCATTTTGCACTTTTCTTAAGTTTTAGTCATACTATTATAGATTACGACTAAACATGGATGTTTAGCAAACAGAATAAAATTGAAAAGCTTACTCACACATGTATGAACACATGATTTTTGAGAGTTTCAAAGGCAATTCTGTGAGGGAAAGTTAGTTTTCTTAACAAATTGTGCCTGAATAATTGGATATCTATATGGAACACGCACACGTGCACACATACCACTTTCACCCACATGTAACACCACCTAGAAAAACAACTCAAGGCCGGGCGCGGTGGCTCAAGCCTGTAATCCCAGCACTTTGGGAGGCCGAGGTGGGTGGATCACGAGGTCAGGAGATCGAGACTGTCCTGGCTAACATGGTGAAACCCCGTCTCTACTAAAAATACAAAAAACTAGCCGGGCGTGGTGGCGGGCGCCTGTAGTCTCAGCTACTTGGGAGGCTGAGGCGGGAGAATGGCGTGAACCCGGGAGGCGGAGCTTGCAGTGAGCTGAGATCACGCCACTGCACTCCAGCCTGGGAGCACAGCGAGACTCCGTCTCAAAAAAAAAAAAAAAAAAAAAAAAAAAAAAAAA